CGTCGCGGACGTCAGCGGGAGAGACACGCGAGCTTCGATGAGCGAGAGCGTGGGCGACGTTGCGCAGGACGGATTCGGAGATCCCAGTCGATAGTCGGGAATATCGACGGTAATAGCTCGCGGTAATGGGCCCGCAGAGGCGGACGCATAGGCTGTTACGTGCGGTATCAGCCTTAGATCTGAAAAACCCTTTATTTTAAAGCTCTTTTTCTCTTTCTTTTCGATACCTCGATCCCAGACTGTAAACACGCGTCTCGACAAATATTGTAAATTTTAGCTGGACCGTGATAACTCTTCTCTCTCTCTCTCTCTCTCTCTCTCTCTCTCTCTCTCTCTCTCTCTCTCTCTCTCTCTCTCTCTCTCTCTTTACGCTATTCTGCGTCTCGAAAAAAGAGGCAGAGTGAAAAAAGGGAGGTACACTCTCCGTGCATCAACAAGAGGCATCCTTAATTTTGTTAACATATTTTATTCCTCATTCTCGACATTGTTTTGCGTCCGACTAGCCCGACTAACGCGAATTTAATTGTCGATATTCGACAATTGAAAGTAAAGTGAGCTGCCTGATTGAGCCACATCTGTTGAGAGAGAGAGAGAAACACCTTGAGACGGCAGAAGAAAATAACAGCTTTTACGCAAAGTATAAAATTCGTGGTATCGTTACGAGAGACGAGAAGAACGGAAAGATAAGATTCGCTAGTCGGACCGCGACGCGAGGGAGCGCGAAAGGGAGCAAAGTCCGCGTCGACGAGGTGGCAACGCATCGCGGGGGGGGGGGGAGGGGGAGGGGTGGAAATCGCAAGGGGAATATCAAAGATAATACCCGACGTTCTCTCCCGTCACGGCTATAGAGACTTCATTTCGTTTTAGGGATTGTTCAGCCGAACAGCATAAATATTTATGCGCATACGCAAGCATTACGCGCTCGCTGGCGCATTAACGAGCACAATGCACTTATATCGTTTCATATACATACCTGCGTTCAGGTGAGTGACGGTCGGCCGGCCGGCCGGCCGAGCGTAATGTTTTTCTCAGTTTACTTTACGGTTCTTCGGATGTCGTATATATCCCGCCGTTTACTGCTGTTTACTGTTCCGCCTCTATTTTCAGGCGCCTCTCGCGAGAGGTAACGTGATAATATACACGCGTATAGATATACGCGTGATAATAATAACAACAATATGCTCGAGCGCGTGCGCGCGCGCGCGCACGATCGACGGTCTCGGGCAGTTTGCAGGCCGCTCTCGGCCGTCGCGATTGTCCGCGTGACGGATTAACGCGCGGGGAATTTCGTGGAAATTCTTTTTCGTTACCACCGCGCGCTCAGGTGGCGTACGAGAGCCGGCTACGTCATCGAGATCGATATCGATCGTATTATCGAAAGGGCAGTGCCGACGTGCCGCGCGGCCGCCGGCTCTTGCGAGCGAGTCTTACGACCGACTCGGCCACTCGGCGTATCGCCCGGCGGAATCCTCTCCTCTCGCGCGCCACTTGCTTTATAATCTTTTAAATATTCAGTTCGTACGCTCGGTTTTACATTCACTATAGCGTGTCGGTCGCTACGCTAGACGGATTCTCTCGCGCGCGCTCTGCACACGTGCACCGCGCGCGCGGAAACGCAAATCGCGGCTCGTGCGAGCCGCTCTCTCTCTCTCTCTCTCTCTCTCTCTCTCTCTCTCTCTCTCTTCTCTCTCTCTCTCTCTCTCTCTCTCTCTCTCTCTCTCTCTCTCTCTCTCTCTCTCTCTCTCTCTCTCTCTCTCTCTCTCTCTCTCTGGACATGCTTTCGCGACGATTGATTCAGTCGAATTCGCCGACGTTATTTGGCTTTGAGCGTCATTTGCGCGATACAGAATTGCCGCGAGGCAGATGAGAAGAGAGAGGGAGAAAGAGAAAGAGAGAGAGAGAGAGAGAGAGAGAGAGAGAGAGAGAGAGAGAGAGAGAAAGGAAGAAAGACTGAGAATTTTCCACGCGCGCACACGTGGGCGTGCAAATATGCGAAAACTCGCAAATTTTTTCTCTCTTGCCGCAGCGGCCGCGGACGTCGCTGCTCGCGTGTATGTGCTTTTTCGCAGGACAAAGTTCGACGTAACGAAGCGTCCGATGTTAACGATGCGTTAAAGCGAGGCAGGTGCATCGCGTTAATGCAGGACCAGGAGGGAACACGTAGGGCGTATAATCATGAAAGACCAGAAAATAATAACAATATAATAATAATAATAATAATAATAATAATAACGGTAATGAGGATGGTAGGATAAATATGCGATTTTTCCGCGGGAACACAACGGAGCCGCTCTCGCGCACGTAGTTTATATTTAGACCCTGCGCTTAGAGTGAATTTATAGTCATTGCTATCGGGATCCTTTATGCACCGTCCCTTGGCGATATTGCGGTGCGTGCCCACACTCCTCTTACACTCTAGGCCAATGGTTCTCAAACTTTTTTTGCTCGCGGCGCGGCATTGTCTGGCGCGCAGGGCGAGCTGCGCGCCGTATTAAAAACAGATTAGTTCGCGGATTATTCCGCGAACTATCGCGTCCGCTCCGTAGGCTGTAGGCGCGCTCTCGGCGAGGTGGAGGCGCGCGAGCGCGCGTGCTTTCAGGGGATATTAAGACGAGGTGAAATTAAATGGAGCGTGCGACAAAGGGACAACGAAGAGGCGCGAGAATCTCGTTTTATGGCACTCGCGCGACCGCGAATTCGAACCTTCGGCGCACCTTCCTTTTGAGAATCACTGGCCTAGGCAGTGTTAGAGAGTACGTAGTGTGTGTCTATAATCTCGGCTTTTTTTTCACGCGCGTGTGATGACACCCACGTGGTCTCGGCGCGCGGCTCCGCTTCGCGCGCGCGCGCGCGCGCACGATCGCTCGCTCTCGCACTCGCGCGATTCTCGCGCACAGAGCCACCGCCAATCTATATGGCCGCAACCTTTCTCCTCTCGTGTGCTAATCAATCTGTGCTTCCTACGCGCTTCGATTACGTAACGCGGCATTGTGAACCCCCGACGTACGAAAATTTAAAAAGCAAAATCGAGAATCCGCGCCTCGCATTCCGCGCGTCACGAGCGACGACGGCTCCCGCGTGCGAACGGCCGCCGCCGTGTCTCGCAATATCTCATATTCCAATGACATTTGCGGATACCTATACGAGGCTACGGGAGATCGACTGTCGAAACGCACAATAGAGCGCGCGCTTTGAGTTACACGCGCCAAATGATTAGCGTGCGCGCTCGAGGCGGCCCTCTCTCTGATGGCGGCGCGTTTCGCAGCGAAATTTCATTTTCCCGGAACGTATAATTAACGCGCTAAAGAGCGCACTCGACAGGCGTGCGAAAAGCGCGATCGCTAAATATCTTCGACGTCCGATTGTCAGTTAATCTCGTATCGGCCAATTATCGTCGCGCTCGGGATATCTCTCGGCCGCTCCGAGAACCACCGTCGGAGGCCGGCCGCGACGCCGCCTTCGGATCTTTCAATTTCCCGGTTTGGGACGCCGCCCCTGGATCTCCCAATTTTTCCCGCACTTTCCGCCAATTTTCCTCTCCCCCGCGCTCTGGCGCTCTGGCGCTCTGGCGCGATGGCGATGGCGCGAGAGCTCCGAGAGATGCATGCCGCCTATGCACGGGCGGAACCGCGAGGCTGCGCTCGCGGTGCCTCGAGGGGGGCACTCGTTCGCTCGCTCGCTCGCTCGCTCGCTCGCTCGCTTACTCGCGCGGGGCACCTTCTCCCGCCAGGTACACCCATGTATCTACCACACGCGCATGCACACGTACACATACACACTCACACCCACACACACGTACACATTCCCACACACGACCAAACGCGTCTCCATGCATACATTGCTCCTCTACAATGTATATATGCATACCGAGCATTATATATATATATATATATATATATATATATATATATATATATATGATATTACCACACACACACACACACACATTACTACATAATACGTAAACATAAAGACGCATACATAGACGAGGCCGCTTCCTCCTTGTACGCTCGACCGGCCGCAACACCGCCGCCGCCACTGGGCCGCGATGCTCGTGGTGGTTCGCCGCGCGCTGCGCCGCGCCGCGCCGCGCCGCGCCGGTCGGGCCCCGGCCCGAGTAGCAAGTCACCTCCGCTCACCTCGGCGTGGCGGAGCGCGCGCGCCCGACTTCAGTCCGCGCTCGGCTCGAGTCGTGCAGCACGGAACGCGCAGGAGGTGCGCAGGCAAGCGAGCAAGCAGCCGGCCAGGTAGACAGGAGGAGAGAGAGAGAGTTTCCCGATCGTCGAGACGACACGTACGCACGCGTCGCCGTAAATCCGCGGTAAAGCCGCGCATACGCGCACACGCATGAGGAAACGAGAGGGAGACATGTGACTGATCCGCGCGCGAGCCGTCGTTAACTCGCGCGCGCGCGCGCGCGCACGCGTGTGAGCGCACAGTGCCGAAACGTCAGATTCCAATGATCCTGACAACGTGATCGCAGCGGGCGATTGGAGGAGCCGAGGATCGTCGTTGGGAGGAGAGAGAGATAAAGAAAAACAGAGACAGAGAGAGAGAGAGAGAGAGAGAGAGAGAGACAGAGAGAGAGACAGAGAGAGACAAGGGAGACAGAGAGAGACAAGAGATCGCGGCAGTGAATGTCTCCGCCGGAGGATCGATCCTGCGATCGAACGGCGCAAGAACGGAACGCGCGACGTCGCGTCGCGTCGCGTCGGGCCGCGGTATTATGTCACACTCCCACGCAAGCGACGGCCGCCGTTGCCGCCGCCGCCGCTGCTGCGGTTGTTGTTGCTGCTGCTGCTGTTGCTGCTGCCACCGTCGCTGTTGCGAGACCCAACGTCCTCGTCGTTTGACATTTCCGCGGGCGCGCAGCGCTTGACGGACGGACCGCGCGCGGCTCTGTTGGTGGATATTGGCGCGCATACGCGAGAGTGGAGAGAGAGAGAGAGAGAAAGAGAGAGAGAGAGAGAAAGAGAGGAGAGAGAGAGAAAGAGAGAGAGAGAGAGAGAGAGAGAGAGAGAGAGAGAGAGAGAGAGAGAGAGACAGTTTTCTTCATTAGTGACGATGCTCGTGATATAAACTTCGCCGTCGACCGACAGTGACCTCTCTCCCCCGTGCACCCGGACGACGACGATCGTCGATGAGCGCTGAGAATTCGCTCGAGATCGAACGCGCGATCCGCCATCCGTTCCGGTGTTCTCGCGAGCCGTCGGCGCGATCGTTCCGGGATCGCCGTCGCGCATCATCGCCTAACAGGCCGTGGGTGGAGATCACGACAAGGTAACGTGCCCAGGGAGAAAGAAAAGTCATTTGGCGTGAAGATAAATTATGCGCGTGTGCGCTCGCTCGCTCGCTCGCGCGCGCGCGTTTTCCACCAGCGAAACTCGATCGTTGTGTACTGTTCTTCTCGCGCTCGCGCCGTACGGTGTCACGTATCGGCTTGAAATCCGCTCGGACCGAGCTACGTTCCCGACTCGAGTCGTCTCGTCACGACGACGACGACGAGACGAGACGAGACGAGACGAGACGAAACGAAAGGCGAGGCGACGCGACGCGACGCAACGCGACGCGACGCGACGCGGCGCGGCGCGGCTCGGCTCGGCTCGGCGGATCGATCATGACGCCGGGGTATGAAATCGGTAATGAGCTGTAAATCTCCGGCATGTACATCGGACCGCGTGTGCGGGTGAGTCACACGCGTCACGGTACGGATACCGACGATACCCGCCGACGACACACAAGCGTGTGCGCGCGCGCGTGCGTACACGTACACGTACACATATATACATAATATACGTAGACGGGCACCTTCCTCGGCGCGTATTCTTTTCCCTTCGGTAGAAAATCGAAGGAAAGGATAATAAGCGAGAAATACACTCTCTCTTACCCGCCGGCCGGTTCCGTGGTTGGCCGCGCGCGCGTGGGCGTAAACGAGAGAGAGGGAGAGAGAAAGAGAGAGAGAGAGAGAGAGGGAGAGAGAGAGAGAGAGAGAGACGGAGAAAGAGGTACGGCCGGGCGGATCAAGAGAGATAGGACACAAGGGAGAGACAGAGAGAAAGAGAGAGAGAGAGAGAGAGAGAGAGAGAGACGGAGCACGGACCGAGAGAAGCGATTTTCTAAAAAATCCACGGTGAAACCTTCGTTAACGTCGGTTTAGACCGCGCGCGCGCGTTCACGTGCCGTCCATCGCCCGCGGGAGATAATCCCATTTCGATCGAATCGACGCTCGCGGATCCGAGGTCGAAAATCGAGTCGATACCGCGGCGAAAGCGGCGCAAACGTAGCTGCGATTTTTCCGCGCGGACGAGCCGGGTTTAATTGAAAATACCGTTCGCGAATCGTTTGTCGGGAAGATTGAATTCTGGACTGGCGGTCGCATCAAGAACGACGCCGCGCCGTGGCGGCGAGTTTCTCGGAGTACGCGACGGGGAGAGGAGAATCAGCGAGCGATCAGAGTCCGCGACTAATTATCGCGATCGCGACGCGTCTGAAGCTCGTGCCCGGCGAAGCGAAACCGTCCTCGCACGCGGATGACTGTCTGAAAATCGCCGACGCGGTGTCCGCGCACGCGATCGATGCGCGGTGTCGCCTTACCTCGATGCGGCGCGGCGGCGAGCGCGAGGCGTGTACGCGCTGTCGAGATCGAGAAATGGGCCGGGGACGACGTCACGCTATTCTCGATGATGCGAATAATAACAGCTCTGGCCCGGCCTCTGACGCATACAGGAATCAGACGATTAAATTCGTCAAGTCCGCACCTATGGAAAAGGACGCGCGACGTGCGCTGTTAGCCGCGCGCGGCGAGCTAACGTGAGAAGACAAAAAGTCTTCGTCGACGCGCGTGTCATCGCGCGTTTCGTTCCTGTCGCCGTCGCCGTCGGGCTCGGTCTCTCTGCGAGCTTTCTTCTCGTGACGTGCTTTTCTTCTCTCTCTCCCTCTCTCTCTCTCTCTCTCTCTCTCTCTCTCTCTCTCTCTCTCTCTCTTTGACAGTTTTTTTCTTCACGGTACATTGAGCTTCGATGAAATTTCCACCCTGTGGGATCTCCTGCGTCGAGTCATCACGACATCGCGTTTCGTTCTGATTCGACGGTAACCGTTAATGATTTATTTTTATAAATTAATCCTTTACAATATTGGCAACATATTCGACATAAATATATCGCTCTAATGTCACATCGATTGCACTACCAACACGCGATAATCCGGATCTTCCTTCAGTCCTCTATAAAATCGATTAGAATTTCGCTCGAAGACGAGAACGCACAAAAGCGGGTATACACACACACACACACATACACAAAGTGTTATTAAAACACTTGGAAACCTGCGTCCAATAGATTGCACCTTCAGTGCGCGCCGATCGCACACGGCCGGGCGATTCGCTCCAGCGACATCGGCTCTCGGCCGCTTGATCATTTCACGCAATTAAAACACATCGACGAGAACAGAGCGCCGCGCGATCTACGTGAACGGGTCGGCCGGGTTTGCGCCGACAGTTCGGCGCGGATCGTTAAACCGCTCGCGTGGTTCACGTTAACGCGATGCGACAGAGCACGCGATCGCTCGGCGGATGAGCGGCGGGACCAGGACAGGTCTTATTCCTCACGCCCAGCGGACGCTAAGGGCATCCTCGTAGTTCCAAAATTCCTGTACTCCGTGCACAAGGAGCATTTGGAACCAAAAGAACTCGCCCAGTTTTCTGATTCCGCGATCTCACCGTGGAAGCACAGCGCACTTCGCGAGAGTGTGCGTCTTTCTGAGCGAGGAACTTCCGCGTCTCGTCTCGCGAGAGACTTATCTAGAGACATCTGAAGCTGAAGTTCGATATCCGTCCAGAGGGCCGACCTTCTTCAGCCTTGTTCAGCCTTCTGAGCCCTCCAGAGCGTCATCGGATCACGCAGAACGCCGATCGCTCGTGCGTCGCACGCATCGCTCGTCGCGCGACGTTAGAAAGTATGCCGTAATATTGATTTATACCTCGCCGATTTATCGGCAGAGATATCCCCGCCGCGTCGCGCCGCGCCGCGGACAATCCCTCGCGGTTAATCGCGCGCTCATTACGAGCCGCGACGAACGACAGCCGCGGCGAGCGTGTATTATGCGCTCTCCTCGCTCGCAACTCCACGCAATCCGGAGATGCGTATCGCGCGGCGGACGGGGCAAGGGGCGGGAAGGGGAGAGGTCGCCGACGCACGGGGCACGAAAACAAGCGACGAGGAGACTAATAATTTAGCGATTTTTCGCGCGGCGACCTCACGCATTCCTTTACTTTCATGCGTCGGCATCGGCGTCCTCGCGTCGTGCGACATACGCGACGAAGCCGATGCACCGACGCGAACATCGTTCGCGTCGGTATCGATCTGCCATTATGATTATTATTGCGTCGCGCGTCTCGCGTATATGTGCGTGCGTGCGTGCGTGCGTGCGTGCGTGTGCGGATTGAGAGCTCCGTTAGCGACACGCATGCCGCGTACGTCGCCGGGTCGCGGGACTTAGCGATTTCGTCGCGCCATCGGCGAGCGAGCGCCCGCCGCCCGCACCTCGTCAGCCGCGAGTGTTCGTCTCGGTTGAACCTTCGTCTGAGAACCTTCGTTTGAACCTTGTCGACGACGAAGAACTTCGTGCCGATCCACGGTGTAGATATAAGGCGAGCCTCCGCGCAGAGAAGAGAGATCGGTGACGATGAACGAGCGAAAGGCGTTCTGACGGAATTTCGATTTGTCGAACTCGATCGACCGCGACTTCTTCTCCTTCTTTCCCATGTAAGATCGCGATTCCTGAACGAGAAGGCTTTCCCGAGCGGGGGTCTTTTTTAGCCGGAAAATTACGTTGTATCTTGGGGCTCGCCGAGCGAAAGGCTGCAGGCTTACTTCAGTCGTCGTCCCGCTCGGGGGGCTGAAATTCCGGTTAAGGTTTAGTCCCGCGATTTTCGTAAAAATGGGAGGACGTGTTTCGAGCTGTACCTCCAGGCAGCCCCGACATTATCGCGAGCACGTCTCGTACGCGTCGCGGCGCGCGAGACTTTACGATGGCGCGCGTCGCGCGTACGCAACCTGTGCTCGCACTTTGTCAGTCGAGGTCTTTTCAAGCTAGCCCGGCGTTATCGCGAGCGCTCTTGTTCGCGCGATTCGAGAGTCGCGCGGCTCGGTGCGAAAATAGCCGCGCTCTCGTTATCATACGCGCGTCGGCTCGTTGGCTCTCCGATCCCGTTGCGTCTCCGATTGACGGCGCGCGCGCGCGCGCGCGCCGACGGGGCGGCGGGGGAGGAGGAGGAAGAAGGTACGAATCTTGAATTCGACGGATAACCAGCCGTGCCACGGGCGAAAGTGTCCGATTACGCGAAGTTTATCGCGAGACACGGTAACCGGATAATAATCGAGCGCGATACGCGAGCGTAATGAGCCATCCGGGGGGCTATCCGGTTTCGTGGGTTTCGACGTCGGGACGTCTCTCGCGGGACGTAGGATCCCGCGCTTAATTGCGCCTCCTCCCGAGACGAGGGGCGCGGTAAAAAAGCGGCCGTTTTACCGTGTACCGTACGCCGCACGCCCGACCCGGGCGTGTGCGAGCCGGCGCGCGTGGATAACCTCGCCGGTAATTTACGGCCGATTGGGTTGCTTTACGATATCGCTGCTTAGCGGCGTGATTAACGCCCGTGCGATCGCACTCGTACGTCGAATATACGCGGTGTAGTCCGGGCCAGTAGTCGGCGATTAATCTCCATCCCGCTATCCCGAGGAAATTAAAACTAAAGTACAAAGTGTCGCCCCTTCTCTCTTTTTCTCTGTTCTCTCTCTCTCTCTCTCTCTCTCTCTCTCTCTCTCTCTCTCTCTTTCTCGCTAGCAGTAATGCGCGTATGGCGCTCGCGGGTCGGATTTATCAACGGTAAATTAGATGACAGCCGGGCCCGTTCGGCGGCCGCAGGTATTCAGCCGGCGTTAAGTAGCCTAAGTATTTACAAGTTACGCGGCGCGATCGCTTTTCCGCGTACTCGGCTGTTGTCGCGCGCGGCTATCGTCGATAAAACGATCGCGAATCGCCGCGTATAACGAGATTACGTACGCCAGGCGATTCCGCCAACGCGCTATGGCGCGTCGTATAAGAACGCGCGCGCGAGTGTTTGTCGATCGTTGTCATTTCATTTCGCCGTCTTTCTTAAGAGCGAGTTTCGCCGGCGAGGCGCGGTAAAACTTACGTTTTTTTGCTCGTAACTGACGTGGCGGAGAAGTTTATGTCGGAATCACACGTTTCTCAAATCTTCGAACGGCTCGCCGCCGCTTTTCGCGTGGAATTTTCAGAGTACGACGCTGATTGAACGGCGCGATCGATCCGGAATCAATGCGCGCCCGAATTTTTAGGCGGTCCGTCTCCCGTCGTCACGACGATGACGGGAAAAGGGAATGATAATTTAATGATCTCTCGTTTTCGTAAGGCGGTACCTCACGCGCGGGTGATTATAGTTATTTCACAGATACCTTTGCACGACGGTTATTAACGCTCGATCGGCGCAGCACGAATAGAAGTCGATCGGTATCCTTCCGAGAGGGAGAGAGAGAGAGAGAGAGAGCGAGAGAGAGAGAGAGAGAGAGAGAGAGAGAGAGAGATGCCGATCGTTATCTAACAAGACTTTTCGAGCCCTTCGATTATGTGAGCCCCTTTAACCCGCACGAATTAAGTGGACACTTTCATTAGCCGCGACTTGAAACGGCAATTAGATCGCGGCGGGGGAAGGGGAGAGTTACATAACGCGGGATTTACTTGTACCGTTAGGTATTCGAACGTGCGATTTGAAAGTCATTAAATATAGCTCGCTCGGGGACGCTTGAGCTGGCTTCTTTTTCTTCGCGACGCGTCGCGACCGTAAAATTCGATCACCGCATGAAATCGACGTTAACGTGTAACGTATAGCGTATAACGCGTAACGATCATATTTTCTCTCGAGTTACCAGGTGTGTCGGTAATTCCTTTCCGGTTTTTCGCTAAAGAAAACACGTTATTTACAATGGATAGTTAAAATATATTTATTCAAAGTATTGGCCATTTGATTCTATACATTTTGCCCATCTCTCAGGCAATTTATGGATGCCATTCCAAAAGAACTGTTTCTCCTTTGAGCTAAACCATTCATCGAGCCATCTTTTAACTTCTTCGAAATCGGCGAAGTACTGCTCTGCAAGCGCGTACCCCATCGATGCGAAAAGGTGGTAGTCGGATGGAGCCAGGTCTGGAGAGTACGGCGGGTGCGATAAAACTTCCCGTCCAAGTGATTTCAACACTTCTTTGACTGGTTTTGCTGTATGAGACGGCGCGTTGTCATGCTGCAAAATCACCTTATCATGTCTTTGAGCGTATTGTGGACGTTTTTCGATCAATGCACAGTTCAAATTGATCATTTGTTGTTGGTAGCGATCAGTATTAACTGTTTCTCCAGGTTTCAACAGTTCATAATATACGACACCAACCTGGTCCCACCAGACACAGAGCATGGTCTTGCGACCAAAGCAATTTGGCCTTGCAGTCGATGGGCCGCCTTCGCCAGGTGATAACCATGATTTTTTTCGCTTGGGATTTTCGAAATAAATCCATTTTTCATCACCCGTTACTATTCGATGCAGAAATGACTTCCTTTCATACCTTTGAAGCAGCGTCAGTTTCACTGACGATTTTTCGATTTTCCAATTGCCTGTCATTCAATTCATGTGGCACCCATCTTCCCATCTTTTGGATCTTTCCCATCGCTTGTAATCGTTCACAAATTGCTACTCGGCTCACATTCAACTTTTCTGCCAATTGTTTTTGAGTTTGTGTTGGGTCTTCATCCAATAACTCCTGCAATTCCGCATCTTCAAACGTTTTCGGCCTACCAGGACGTTTTTTGTCTTGAATGTTGAAATCACCACATTTGAATTGTCGAAACCACGTTTCACATGTTCTTATGGTTGGAGCATGCTCACCGTAAGTCTCTACCAGCAAACGACGACTTTCAGCGGCTTTTTTCTTTTGATTTGACAAGAAAAGTAATGCGTGCCGCAAATGCACGTTTTCAGGCACAAAACTCGACATTTTCAAAAAATTATTAATCTATAACGCTGTTATTTTGGCGGAACGTAGCTTGTGTAGTTTTGAGGTTAATGTCAGTAGAATAAAATGACATATGTATCAAATCATAACATTGCATACTTATGGCTAGTGACATCTGTTACAAAAACCGGAAAGTAATTACCGACATATCTGGTATACCAAACAGATATCCATATCGCTTATCCTAAATTTTCCGGAGACAAGTCTTCCTCAGAATCTCGCATCCGATCGATTGTTTTTCAATCCAGAATTCAGAATGAATTCTGCCCGCGTACGAGTGGATATTTCAATCGATCGGAGTGGATTTGTCGCCGCGATCTTCAGTTGCGAGCGAAAATACTCACTCGACGACTCGGAACGGATAATCCACTCGAGAAGAGTGAGAAATCACGCGAATTCGAGCGAAATTCCGCTGTCGCGCTGTTTGCCGAAGGGGATTCTGCCCCCGAGAAATTTTCAGCTGTCACCGCTTCCGCTTCCGCGCCGTCTCGACTTTGTCGTAGCGCGTTTTATCGTAAATCGATAGGCGGATAGGCTCATTACAGCCGCCGTTTTCAATCAACAACACGTCGTTGACCCGCTAATAGCGCCGATCGATCATCTCTTTCTCCGTCGTGTGTGTACACGTCATTACCACGTCGAGTAAACGAATTTGCTCTTCTGTTTAACAGGCGGGGCGCGTGCTCTCGAATGGAGGAGACGCCGGAGGATCATCGCGTGTCATCGTGAGTGTCGTTCTCGCAAGTTCTCCCATACGTGCACAGAGTGCGAGTGAATCGATAGAGCTTCGGGGGGATGGGGGGATAAAAAAGGGAAAAAACGAGCAAGAAAAGACAAAGAGGAGGACAGAGGAGACGGTCGTGGGCGAATTGAGGAATAAGGAAAGGAAAAAAGAGAGAGAGAGAGAGAGAGAGAGTGAGAGAGAGAGAGAGAGACCGTGAGGGAGACAAGGGAGAGGGGGGAGAGTGTATCAACGCGTGTGAAATGGATGGTACGCCAAGGAAAAGCGAAGCAGTGCTAATATATGGATGCCCATGGGTGGAACTTGGCCGAAATGTGCCAGCGCTACCATCACGCTGTACCGGCGGCGCAGAACTCCTCGCCAGCTAGGGACCCCTCGGCTGCCATCGTGCAAGGCCTGTCAACTGCCGCGCACATCGATCAAGCCAGCCCGTCTTATTCCCACTACACGTGAGTTTACTCTGCCGCTTCTTCTCTCCTTCTTCTTCTTCTTCTTCTCCTTCTCCTTCTCCTTCTTCTTCTTCTTCTCCTCCTTCTTCTCCTTCTTCTTCTTCTTCTCCTTCTTCTTCTTCTTCTTCTTGTTCTTCTTTTTCTTCTTCTTCTTCTTCTTCTTCTTCTTCTTCTTCTCTACCCCCTCCGTCTCTTTCTCTCTGCTGTACTTATTTCACAAAGTCGAGCGACCGCGATAAATTCGTCGGAGCGACAATCTCGCACGTTCCGAGAATGAAACGCGCGTACAGACGGACGGAACGCGAAAATTCGTCAACAACGAGAGAGAGAGAGAGAGAGAGGGAGAGAGAGAGAGAGAGAGAGAAGGAAGGAGAAAACGTGTTCTAACAAGGCGAGCCCGCATATTCCGACGGTTCAGCACGTGGCCCGGTCTGGGCAAAGTGGGGAGGCGGGGGGTGGGGAAAAGGGGTACGGTCTTATCGCACCGCCGCCCGGGCCGCGTTCCCAATTGTATCGTATATATTAATAACGATACGGCGAATTAGGGATAAGTATACGACCGCGCCGGTCAGGCCCCTGGTAATCCTGTTATTAGCGCGGCGATTAGGGGAAGATGATCCCCGGGCAAATTGCAGGGGCGTATACCGCGCGTGTTTGGTTAACATAATCGCCAATCGCTATCGCCGATCCCCGCGCGAGTCCCCGACGAAGGGAGAAAGCCGATGCTGCGGTGCGACGCGTCGCGTCGCGTCGCGTCGCGTCGCGTCGCGTCGCGTCGCGCGTTGCGTTAACGTCGCGTTTCCCTCAACCCTCGCGCGTCGTTTTACGTATTTCGCACCCCCTCAACGTCGCTCCCCTCGGCAGCGTGCCAGAGCGCTCCTCTGCGCGTGTCCGCGAGACGTTAGTGTTGGAAATCCATTAAATTGCAGTTTACGCTCGAGATTCAATGTTTCACTATCATTACGCCGGTACTGCGAAGGCAAAGAGGATAAAAGTGGCCCTCTCCCCTCTTCTCCTCTCTCTCTCTCTCTCTCTCTCTTTCTCTCTCTCTCACTCACTCACTCACTCACTCACTCTCTCCTCTTCTCTCTGCTTACCGATCCTTTGGGACTGTTAAGGAGGAGGTTGGGAAAATAGCATGCGCACTGCTGCGCGGCATGCGTTTCTAACGTATCGTGTAATTTCAGCTATTTCTTATCTCGTTTGCCCGCGGTCTTATTTGCTCGTTGCCTTCTTACGACGCGGACGATCGGCGCGGGATGTTCCGCCAGCCGGGAATTTCATATTTTTCTTTTTTTTCTTTACCCTTCACCGATCTCCACCGCGCGCTTTTTTTTCCGAAATCCTTTAGAGATTCGACCGGAAACTATCGAGGGGAACGTTACGAAGTGTCACGGAGTGTACCGTAGACAAGAAGGTCAACGCGACCGCTCGTTCCCGGGTGACGTTTAGCACATCGACGAGAGAAATTGCCGCGAGTCCTCATCTTTCCTCTCTCTTCAATTTGCGAAACAGTTATCTTAATTTTGATTACCGCGCGCGGGACACGCGGGGCCGCGGTTAAAAAGGCGTAGATACGGCGGCGGGGGAGGAGGAGAAAGAGAAGAAAAGAAACCGGATCGCAGAATCACCGCGTGACGGAGATTCTTTTCGACCTCGGCGGTTGCTGACGACGAAAATCAGCTCCATTAAAATGGTTCCGCCCGGTTCCATCCGTTGCTCTCGGCCGGCCGTCGCACGGATCGCGGACCATGTCACGTTATTTCATATGTACGCACGCACGCCAGATACCTCGGCGGATTTTGCGCGAAACTTGGGCGCGAGGAAAAAGAAGAAGGAGAGGAGCAGAAACTTGCCAAGTACTGCAAAACCGACGAGCGATCCATTACGATTGATTTATCTCGGCCGTAATTTATCGAGTTGTTTACGAAACGTATACTCTCTGAAAGCGCAATCAGTATATTCCTCACTGAAATGCCATACCTGTAACCGGTGGTTCAGTTGTAAGTATAGCATTGCGACCAGTAAAATCTCGCTGAGCGGATCAGTTAATGGCAGACACGCGGAAGCCGTTAATTCAATCGCCGAACACGGAGACTTGGATTTCGTACAGAATGCGTTCTTACGCACTTTGCGCGCGGCGCAGATTTTGCGATGAAATCTTCCGCCCGGGTCAAAAATCAGCGGAGTTTATCAAACGGAGGATTTTATCAAACGGGAAATTAGCGAGTACTCTGACCGATCACCGGGTTAGGTTAGGTGGTCCTCTTCTTCACGCGACGAGACATATACATATGTATTTTCGCTTCGCTTCTCGCGAGTTGAATTTGCGAGTTTGCTCTTTCCGGAAACCTCTTTCCTCGCTTCGAAAAAGTCGAGAGTCGTCCTCAGCGCTCGTTCGCTCGTTCGCGTCAGCCGAAACTCGCGAGCTGGATCGCTGGATCGCTGGATCGGGCTTGGACACACGGCTTGGAGGAAGAAAAGAAAAGAAAACACGCGCGCGCGCGCGATATCTCGGACCTATGAATTTTTTACGACATCGCGCGCGGCCGCGGTCGGAGATCTCCTCGCCGTGGCAGAGCCCGCTCTAAACCGCGGCCGCGGCCGCGGCAATTCTGTAATAACGCCGATACGTGGCCACATGTTGATCGATTCTCGCATTTACGAGGCTGAAATCGAATCGCGAGAGCGAGTGGCCGCCGGCCGGGCTATTCGCCCGATTGGCCCGCGCGCTCCGCTCGCAGCGTTCTCCTCCTCGGGAACATCGAGCGCTCGATTCTCCCATTCGCATTCCTCTCATCCGAAGGACTCACGATGCCGATCGTTAATTGGTAATATCAGTCGCGCGCTCCGTATATTGTCGCTGTCGGTGCTCCAACCTGAGGAGATTCGTGCCGACGCGGTCATGGCGCGTTCGGCGGCGCGGCGGTGGCCCGTCGGAGGTAACTTTCGTTTTCTTACGTGATAAGAATTAATATCTCGCCGTGGTCGCGAACGCGTGCGTGTACGTGTGCGCTTGCGCGCGTGTCGGCCTTAGCGTCACCGTCGGTTAGCTTACTCGAGCCGGAGCAGGCTCAAATTGCAAACATTGATTATATCGACGAAACGTCGATAATTCCGTGAACGACGCGCTCTATACGCCGCCGCGTCGCCCGGCTCGGTTTTTCCACGACACTCGCGTTGGGAACGAACGGACGCGTCCGCGTCCGCGTCCGCGTCCTTTGTCGCGCGGACGACTCTTCGAAAACGAGCAGAGAGAGAGAGAGAGAGAGAAAGAGAGGTCTCTTCTTCTTTCAGCGAGGAGTCTCCTCAGCTTGCGAAAATGAACGTGAAACTGTCGCGAGTTTGGCGAACCTTTCGATATCGCTTTTTTTTTTTATTACTTTTACACGCGCGACAAATTCTATTACAGTTTTTTGCCTCGGGCCTCGTCCGTTTTCTCGGTTTTCGCCTCATTTCTTCGGCACGTGTAACGACAAGCTTCGTTTCGTTATCGGTTTTTCCGCTCGGCACTTGAGAGCCGTGCGTGCGATTCCCCCCGTGCATTGTGACGCACTGGATTTCCTTCGAATTTCCTGGGAAATTCCTCGGCGCTTTTTTGCCGCGGCGCGTTTAAATGCGGAATCGAAGAAGCGTTCGCTCTCGGGATGATGACGTCGCGCTTGACCCCTGCACGTGGTGAGATATTTATGATCGCCGGCGGCCTTGTAATCCCTGCGATTGTAGTGACTCAGATCGCTGACTTGACGATTAAACAGCAACTGCCGCTTAATTACGAATTAACGTTGCGCCGGTAGTTGTTTCGGCGTGCGAAATGTGCGCTCGACGACGGAGCGCGTCACAATCCACCTGGTCGGTCGGTCGCAACTCGCCGCGACTGCGCGCGCGGTAACATTATGAATGACTAATTTCCGATCAAGACGACACAAAGACGCGTCCTCGTTGATACGCAACATTTGACTCGAAATTCTCACGAGTCCGTCGTGAAGGCGCGAGCGTTGTAACGACGACGACTTTGCTTTACATGCCATCGCCATTGTTTCGTGATTCGTAACGAATACAAAAGACAAGATTGCGCAATAATTAAGTTATATTCGCAAAGTAGGCATTATATATAGAAAGCGCGAAGTGACTTGGACTCACTCGAGTGTCGACGTTGCCGTCGAACGGATCGCTTCGCGTTTTCTCGCGGACGTGTACACTCGCTCATGGTGTGCCTGTGTGTATGTGTGTATGTGCGTGTGTGTTGCTCGTCAATCGATTTTAGAACGCCCATAAATCTGTGGCGCGCTAAACATAATGGCGATAAGAACTTATCGATGAATCGGAACTCATTTGCAGCTACGTAAATTTGCTCCGTTGAAAGCAATAGAGGCGTGGATGAACGAATTAAAGACGTTTAAACTTGTCCCAGCGACAAGTTTAAGCCGGATATTACCTCTGTGGTCAAAGACTTTGTTAAAAAATACACTTCAGAGCACAAGCGGCTGTCAATGCCGCGATTAAAGCTGCGATTAATCATTAACAGCGAGCGGCGGTCCGCTGCGTTGATTTTGACATTTCCAGCTATGTGTTTCTATTTTAACACCTGAGATCGCGATGTACGCGTGTGTCATATAACAGCGGAGAGATTGATCGCATCGCCTGATCACGAGCAAATCTACCTGCTGAAAAACTAGAGCGGTTGCTTCTCTCACACACGACAGAAGCCGAAAGTCGAGTCCCACCCAAGCCCGATTCGAGTCGCCGCGCCGCGTCAATTGATCCTTTCTCGCACCTAGCGTTCCTTTATCTCGTGTTAGGCTCTCCTCTCCTCGTATCCTGACTCTTACGAATCCCCCCGTATTTCGTCCCCCGTCTCCGCGACGTAGACCTACGACGTAATCGCCGCCGTCGGAAACGGCGGCGTATCTCGCGCGGATCGAGCGGATAGCACCCTACGGAGCTTCATCCTAGAAGAGAGGCGCCCCGACGCGTTTTCGTCGCTCGACGCGACGAGG